TCACAGCAGTAATTAACGTTAAATATAGGTAAAACTAATATATGTAGTAATTATTATTCATGTTCATTCTCTGTCTTATTCGCGGCCTGGAATATTTCGATTAAGTATTAAATCGCTAAAGTTCTCATAATTTTGTAATTTTATGATAATTAAAAGTTTAAAGTGATAATTGACAAATGATCAATAGTGGTTTTTTGCTTTAATTTAAAAAAATTCGAATGTATAAAGCCAAATATGTAAAGGTGTTTTGCAAATCTTATTTTATAAAAAATTTAAGCGATTTAAAGCGAAAATGAACAGCAATCTTTTAGTTCTCGTATAAAAAGTTCACATTAAATTGGAAACACAAAATACAAATGCATAAATAGCAAAATCAAACGAAATTAATATGTGCCGAAAATGGTATATTAATTACTTATTAAGAGATAAATGTATAGTATATTAATTACTTATTAATAATTAATAATTAATAACCGTACATTGTTTACATACTGTGTTTTTGTGAAATTTATGAATTTGATGCACGCTATAAATACTGAATTTTAATTGCACGTTTTTGTTAAAAAAAAAAAGAATTTAAAAACTTTACTAAAACTTAATACATATTTCTTTGAATAGTACTAACAAAAAACTTTTACATACAATAAATAAATATTTATTTAATAAAAAAATAATTTTAAATAAAAAATTAATAGTATTTGTACCAAATAAATATATGTTTATGTTTAATAAATATTTACTTTTATTTAGAACTACTCAAACAAATATTTATTAAAATTTAGTATTTTTTCTGTAGAGCGGCGTGTTTTTATCAGCTACTTCTGTTATTTATTTGACTTACGTTATATCAGTCATTACCAGAGTGAAGTTATTGATCCGTCCAACATTTTATCACCATTGAAAGAATGCTACATATAAACACGTAATAGATTGCCTCCGCGACAAGTGGCATCATGACGCGTTTAACTGTAAGTAACATATACAATATATTGATATATATTTATTACAATAAAAAATAGCATTGCAATATTATCGCGTAAAATAGATTTGGCATTAACAATTTAATGCGCATTTTGCGTGACTTGTTTGGCCGAAGAATCTATCGCGCAGTCAATAAAGCAACGATCATATTTTCGCAAACATCGTAAGTATAGCAGATACTTACCTATAATTTTAATTGATATATTTAGCTTGTGTTCTAATGCAAGATAATAACTGACAAAAGAAAGACGAACTATTTATTATATGAAATACGGAAAATGTATAAACGCGAAGCTAGGAGCAACAGGTGTAGCGTCGCGATCACCGCGTCGCTCTTACCGCGCGAAGTTAGCCGCAAGTGCAAACCCTCCGCCATCTTAGACACGTTCACGCTTCGTTTGCGAATCGTCGCAGGTATCGGACCATGATTTCTATTTTTCCACTGTCGCAACATAATTAGTGCATGTCATTTGTGATTAACACTAAGAATATCGTACCGCACGCGTAATGTTCGAGTTCTCAACGTACTGAATTATAATTAACGTATTTTCTGCGACTGTATGTCAATGTTATGGAGAACAGTGATACGGTGAAACAAAAGAAGAAGAGGGAGGGAGAGAGGCCAAGAAGATATTGACTGACGGCGGAAATGCCAGGTGAATACATTTCATTATTTGTTATCGACGAAAGTAATTATTTGTCTGTGCAGTGCAGCATTTCAAATCACTCAATCTAGTATAACAGTGTATTGCACCCAGAGTTACGAGTCATACTCTTTGTGTGCCCTCCAACAAGCGACACGGTACAACACAGTGATTATCTCATCCTTGTTTAACGTTGGCGAACAACAAGGACGTACTGATACACTGTATCATCTATGTCGCTTGTTGGAAGACACTCTTTTAAAAGTATATGTATTCTTTTTAAGATATCATAAAACTTCTAATCATTAATTAAAGTTTTATATTTACACATGTAGTTATTTTAATAAGAATTGTCAATAAAAATAATATAGATATATATATTATTTTTATATTAAATACCTACATTTAACGCATAAAAAATTATATCCACTGCATGTTTTTTTTAAAGTAGACGTATGTATACATAAAACTCTTTTCTTGTGATTCGTACAAGATAACCCCAACTGTACACACATATAGGACACTGTTTCAAAATGCTTAAGAATTATAATTGTTTAAATTACATCTGGATTAAACTTTTTTATGATATTTTATAAAAGTTGTATAACATCGTTGAATTTATTTTTAAAAATGTCGGAAGAACAAAGTCAAAGAAAAAATGTTTATAGGTAAAAATTTGAAATAAATTGCATTAAATTATTTAATCCTTTGTTACAATAAAAGTTGTTATTAAACTATCTTGTTAATTAAACTTTTATTTAAAAAGAATTTTACATTCAAAGAATAAAGTTTTGACTCTTTTGTTGTAACAGACAAATGAGAATTAAATAAATTCAATATTTGTTCAATTGTTATTTCCTTTTTTCAAATTTTATGCTATTTTATGCTTCTGTGTAGGACAAAATTGCTGACACGTAAATACATCCTTTATTAAACGATCACTTTTATTCAAATATACATATATTAAATTTCATAATTCTTTATAAATCGTATATTTAATTAAAATTATCATTAAATAAAAACATTAAATACAATTGGCATAAAATTTATTATTAGTTTATAAAAAATATGTTAGTTTATATATATTAATAAAGTTATGTATTAGTAGAATTAGGACGCAAGTTGTAACATATTTCTATTACAAAACTCTCGATAGAATAAAATTAATCATTTTAAGTAATCATTTTAAGTAATACATCCTTTATTAAACGATCACTTTTATTCAAATATACATATATTAAATTTCATAATTCTTTATAAATCGTATATTTAATTAAAATTATCATTAAATAAAAACATTAAATACAATTGGCATAAAATTTATTATTAGTTTATAAAAAATATGTTAGTTTATATATATTAATAAAGTTATGTATTAGTAGAATTAGGACGCAAGTTGTAACATATTTCTATTACAAAACTCTCGATAGAATAAAATTAATCATTTTAAGTAATCATTTTACGATGAAATTTACAGTAATTAGATTCGCACTCGATTACGTTTTAGCGAGTGTTGCCTCGAAGTGAGTGTGCAATAAGGAAACGTTGAAATGAGGACGAAGCCTTGATAGACATCAAGTTCATCGATGGAGCATCGTATCAGTGAGTGTATTTTTTTTTTTTAACCTGAAGTGTGAGAGATAACAAATATCAAACTTTCAGCACTGAATTAATTACCATTCTCTTAATAATAACGGTGATAACGGTTGTTTTTTTATGTATAAGGTCCATAACACATGTATTAATAAACGACGTTCTACAATAAGTAAGCCGTAAGAAATTAACCAATCATAGTCGATTATTTTTGTTATATTCAACTGTAATTGGCCAATTTCTTACTTACGACTTGCAATCTTATTGTAGAACAGGATCCCCATTCTTTGTAATTAAGAAATACAAATTAATAGACTCATTAATGTGACTTTTTTGCAGTTGTATGTGTTCGCGTTATTTATCGCTTAATAAGCTCTCATAATTGTAAACGAATAATTAATAATTGCCTGCCGCATAATTAATCGTTATTTATGAACATACCGGTTACAGTATATCACATATCTGGTACAAAAATCGCGAATTTTGCATTATTATACATATTTCGAATATTTTTGAGTAATTTATTTTTCATAAAATTAAAATGTATAAGCAGCATGATTATATATTTTATCTTACATTTTGAATTATAAAGTAAATTATATAAATAAATAAAAATAAAATATATGTAAAGAAAAGAGAATTATCGACACAAGTAATGAAGGGCCTTTACGAATTTATTTCTTTTTATTAAATAAAAATTTGAATTAAATTAAAAATTGAAAATGTCCAAACACATAAAGTTTTGTACTAAAATTTAGTTAGATTTCACCATATTTGAAATTAAGATTCTTATATATATTTTAATAATAAAAGATTATAAAATATCATAATTTGTAATAAATAACAATAAGAAAAAGTAAAACTTAAAATATTAATTGATATATAATATCAATTGTAGAGGTTTATGTTCTATTAATAAAATGAATTACTAATTGTTTTTAACTTTATAACAAAATAACTTTTCTCATTAGAAAAGTATTTCTTGATTTATTTTAATTAAAGATAAGAGTACAGTCAATGTGTAGTCGATCGACCACAGCTATCAAACATTTACGGATGTTACACACATTTAGTTTATCTTGATTTAATCGAGAGTGGAGTGTTTATTTGATTCTCCGAAAGTTATTGACATAGTAATTGAGATAATATTATTAATTCAATAATATTAGTAATTATAGACCAATCTTTATCAATAATTACTGGCAAAATTAAATTTGCAAATACGATAAGTAAATAATAAAAAAAGTAAATTTGCAAAATTATATATGTATAAATTAAACAGGGGAATGTAATTTTATTACTTTTAAATCTCTGTATATTTTTTTAATGCATGGTACCGCAAGAGATAGATATGAAATAAAATAATGAAGAAATTTATTAAAAATATAATACAAAATGTATTTATTAGGAGTTATAAGTGGGAATTAATTTTCAGTGTAACGCGTATAACACTAGATGAGTCGATATAATACACAAAGATATGTATCGCTTATCAGAAAGCGTGCAGTCCAAAATATAGTTGCTCGAAAATGTGTTGAATTGTGAAAATCATAATAATTCAGTCTGGAACGCTGAAATCCCCGGCGGCTTAAGTTGAAATAAGAGGGACGACGAGGAAGAAATATAAATGTAAATATTAATACAGAGAGAGTTGGGCTACTATATGGATCTTAAGAGCCGAGGGGAGACTTCCTCCACGAGCTTGCTTCCCTAGCCTCTTTCGTTCGCTCAAATATTTAATGGATTCGGATAGATCCACTCTTAGCTTTAGGTATATTCGTGTAACTTTTCTATGTGTGTAGATTGAGTTCGTCCGTGCCGTCCAATTTATATACGCACGTACATTCGCTGTACGCTTGCGTGATTCTGCACAGGAAAGCTCAAACTGCATTCTCAAGAATTGGAGAGTAGATTCACATATCTCTGCAAGAAAATTATTTTTTTAATTATTTTTTTTGCGATTATTAAAACGGAAAAATATTAAATATTTACAAATATCGTGGAGAAAACAGATAAAATATATATTCTTAAGCTATACGTCAGTAAAATTTGTATTACTATTATGTATTGCTAAAAGAAAAAGAAAAGAAAAATGTAGGAATAGAATACTGCAGTTGCAATTATATGAAGACATTCTCTCTTTTTGCGCTTTGTATACCGTTTCTTCAGTACAAAATAAGAAATCGTAAATTACGATACATTCCATTGATCATCTTATGCAGTTTGGCAATATTTCACGCTGTGCAACATTTTTATGATCGCAGCTAAAGATATTTTATCTGTACATTGAACATCAATATCGGCGCATCGATGAGCCGTCAATATTAGATCACTTCGCAAACTCGCGGAGCATCTGTTTGCGTGTAAGCTCAAGGGAAACGCGGTTCCACGAAGGAAAGACCAAGGGATCGAACGAAAAACGGTCTTTAATTATTTGCGATCGGCTCGGGCGAGTCCCGCGGGTGTGTTCCGCCGAGAGTTCGACGGAGAGTTAATTAATCCCGCGGTATAATTAAAGCGCCGTTTTGTCGAGCATCGCGGAGGATAGAATGGGAGGACGGACAGAGAATGGTCCGTTCTCTGGAAGTTAAACTCCACGAAGATCAAATTGTGAATCCGAGGCTGCGAACTGTCCAGGACTCACCAGAGGGTGGAAAGGAAGTGGACTCTGCGACACGACAGGGGTACCCGGGGACCGATTTAATTAAATTCTAACGCTTTCGGAGAACGCGCACGAGTGAGCGTCGATCGCGCGCCGATACCTCCGACGTTTTCCCTCTCAGGATCACTGTATACGAGGAATTGGCGGTGATCCGGACCGAACACGAGCGAGGTCGTTTGAAATTATTTCTTTCGTCGTTACGTTGCCTCCGCGTTTTCGTGTGCCGGGCTCATCAGTGACGATATTGCGTTCTGACGAGGCGAGGTGACCTGGGGTGATACAGAACACGAGTGGGAGTGGAAGGTGGGGACCATTACGATGGAATTTCATGACTCCAAGTGGATTGAAAGTTTTTGATGTTATTGGACGCCGAACGTCAATTTCGTCGTTGCGTCGAGTCGTGGCCGTTAATCGGTACTCTGTTGTCGTCACGTCAATAACGAGTTCGATAGAACGGCGAGCGACAAAGGTTTTCAGTATTATATTTCGAAATTATATCGTAAATCCGATTTGTTTCGCGTTGTGGAACACGTCGTGAAAATGTTTGCTCGTTCTACGAAGAAACTCTATTCCCGATTTTTCTACGTTTACGCGCCAGGCATTAATATAAAATAGATCGCTGATTTTTACTTGTCTGCATTATACAATCCTCGTGAATAAATCATGCCTTCACAAATGCGTATATTGTATCAACTTAAAACTGAAATTATTCCTTGTATTTCATATTTTATTTTTATACCTTGATGTAATATTTGTTGCCATAAAAAAATGTGTGATTTTCAGTAATATCTATAATAGAATTAAATGTATAATAGATTTAAATAATTAATTATCCAAAGTTCTCAAATAATTTATCAACTATTTAATGAATAAATTATTCAAAAATAAATTTATTTCGGACGGACAAACGTTCACGAGCGTTATAAAATAAAGCATCTATTCCGTTATTTGCGCTAAAGTATTATGCATATTTAAAATGGTCGGCGTTTGCATAAAAGATTTATTGTTCATTCTGTGCCACGTGCTATATCCGTGAAAATTCACTAATGAGTATGATAAAGGCGAGCATATACATATATTGTAAAATGTGCAAAATCCTTGATCGCGAAGCGTTTCCATGGAGATATTATTGTTGGCCTATTTCCAACTACGAGGACGTACTCAGTGACCGCAAATATTTGCTAATTACGATATAACGCCGTTTGCAAAAGCTGTATCTAGCGATTACTGCAGCATCGCTTTTGATCTCGAACGTTATTAACGATCGCGCGGATATGTCCAATGATCGCTCGAGCATATCCTCTCGATATCCGAGTCGAGTACGGCTCGCCTTTGCGCGATTTTTCATTCAGACGTAATATTCCGGCAGTAGTGCAAAACCGGATAAACTGTTGGTAAAAGAGCACAAGTAGTTTCTTTTTTTTTTTTTGTGAAATGCATATCCCTCGCTATTTTCGTAGCCCGGACTCCCCCCGTCATTTCCGCGATATTTATCCGGCTGTCTATTTTCGGCGACTTATACGCCTTACACCGAGATTCACGATGCGTACTCACGCACGTACGCACTGTTTTTCTAGCAATCCGTCATATACGTACGTACATAATACGTATGTCAGTTGCGATATAGGTGACTGCCACATAGGCGCAAGCGCGACCGGACTCGTAGTCGAATACGACGGACGTTCAGTCGCTCGGCGTTCAGTCGAGTACCGACGTCGTCGTCGACGACGTCGTCTCCTCCCTTGGCGCTAGGATACCCACCCTAGTCTCTCGTCACCGCGCGTCACAGTGCCATGTGATCGTCTCGCCGTTCGAGAACGCGCTCGGTTATGAAACGACTTATGACAGCACGCGCGCGAAGAAGATATTGAAAAAACGCTGATATTTGTTGAAATTTGCTCTTTTGTACTTCGGGATGGGCGAAATTTTTTCTACAACGACTTTTTATAACAATCACGAAGCGCGCTAAATCTTTGCGAGCGACTGCGATTACTGAATCGAGAGACTCTTGATTTAAGGGGTAGCGCGAGAAATGGCAGGGCACAGCCGTGAATGGAACCACGTGCGAGCAGTCGATGCCAAAGGGAAGGATGGGATTTCCCTGCAATTTTTGACGACGCGGTGTTGAAGTTGAAACTAACTGATTAGACAGGTGCGTGACACGTACGGAGCATGTAAGACAATGCGGTGGTGTGGTGGTCCTTGCGATCTCCTGCGGCGCAAGATTTTTGTCCTGCTTGTTCTGATCGGCTGCAGCGATGGCTATTTTAATATATTCATCAGCCATTCTCAGGTCATGAAGCTTTTAGGTATGTAGAACTGCTACTCGATGTCGGTACAGAGAACATATAACATATAATTAGAGAGAATTAAGTGCATATAGTTACCAAAATCAAAGTATATGTTGTATTGGACAGAATTTTATTCTCTTTATTGTTTATTCGAAATTTATTCTTTTTATTATTTATTTAGAATTTATTTATATTTGTATAAAGTGTGTGTATTGAATCACGCATGAAAAAAAAAAAAAGAAAAATGCCTGTATATTTAATTTTGTTTTATTTACGTATTTTATTCATACCTATTAAATTGCATCCGTAAAATAACGTGAACATTTCCAATATAAATTTCCTAAACATAAATTTAGTAGTTTGTCTAATTTTTTAAATATTCGAATATCATATTCGACCCAAAATCCATTGAAGGGTCATTTAGTTTTATATTTTTCATTGCAATTTAATTATTGATGAAAATTATTAAAATGATTAAACGTTTATAAGACCAATCTTTGCTATTGAAATTTACATGTATTACAACGAAAATGATTTAAAACTGATTATACGACAAAGTTCGCACTTTGACATTGAAACTGACGTATAAGATACTTATCTGACATCTATTACAGACTTTAATTTTATCTGATTTATTAATAAAACAATCTATTCTCTTCTTGTGCGAGTAATCTTTTTCTCGTGACATCGTGTCATTCCAACTCCGCGCAAGCGTTAGTTGTAAAAGCGTTAAAACGCTCGTCCCGTCCTCTGCCCCGCGTTACACTTTTTCCATTCAATCTAAACTCTCGCGTACACTTTCGCGTGGCGGTAAACATGAAAATTTCCTCTCCCGCGGCTTGTTAACAAGTCCCATTACAATTGTCGTCGTGTCGGACGTGGTATTTTGTGCAAATAAACGAAAGCTGGAGACCGCGTGAAAAAAGGTTGACAGAGAAAATCTGTAAAACCAGACGATTATTGTGTTGTCACAGTTTTTGTGCGTGAAGTCATAACCAACGATAAAAATCATTACAAATATATATAATATAAATAAAAAAAGGAAGATAAAAAGAATGACGTAGCGAGATGGTTGTTAAGAAAATTAGCTTTAATGATAAAAGTTAGACATTCTTTGCGAAACTAACATATGCGAGATGTTAACCTTTCGTCAGGAACTGAGATCTTTAAAGACATCACCAATATTTTAATTATAAATTTTTTGGTAGATAAACTTAAATCTGTAAAAAACAGAAGTAAAATACAATTCAATTTTTATTTATAATACTATATGTGACAGTAAAAGCTCGTTATTAAAGCTTTGACAAATATGCCAGAATTTTTTAGATTTTATATAATCTGAAACAACAAAAATCTGTTATTTTTCGAAGATTTCTGTTTCTGATTGAACAGTAAAAATTCAAACTGTCAATGGAAGGTTAAATAATATAAATAATATCTCATTTTTAAATTTCTCTCTCTCTCTCTCTCTCTCTCTCTTTTTCTTTCTGAGATGAGTTAACTTTTTAATTTTAATTTTAACTTCTCTTTGTTGTGTGTGTGTGCTTCTTTTTTCCCTCTTTCTTTTCTTAATTTTAATCCTCGTAATTTGTGGTTTTTTATTCTCGTCCATCGCTTACTATTTGTTAGATATTTCTTAATTTTTATATATAATTAATTTTTATATTTTATTTACATTAGTATTATTTTTGTTGTATTATTTTCGTTATTTGTGTATCTTTGTTCTTACATTTTTCTTTACTTTTATTTACTGTTCTTGGAGGATCTAGAATAATAATAAACGCCTTTATCTATCCCCTCCCCCCCCTCTCTCTCTCTCTCTTTCTCGATATAATTGCAAAAATATTCTGACTTATTATCAAGTTTCCTATATGTCATAACGGATTACATCAATTTAATATAAAAAGAAGAATCTAAAAATATATATAGAATACTAAATCTTCACATTTTCGTTATAAAAAAGTTGCTAACTTTTTAAAAAAAAACCTTAATTACATCAAATGAAGCTGTATCTCCTTCTTTTCATCTTGGAGCAAACAAAGATGCATATGTATATGCGTAACGTAAGCATAATAATGTTAATTAGCATCGGAATATTCTCTTCCCGCTTTTATGTTTATAATTGCAAGCCAAGTGATTGTGTTATCCCTTGTACCTTATCTAATTCTGTCTCTTTAACGTTTGCATCGTTCTGCATCCCCAGTGCGCAATTAACGCGATTGTAACGCGTCGCGAGGGAAAAACTTTTTCACGAGACTGGTCGGAGTTTTAACAAACGCGCGGGCAGAAAAAACTTGGGGTCATGTACGTCATCGACGAGAAAGGGAGAGGGTGGTTGCACACTTTGTGGGATCGAAAGCGAAGGCGAAATGGCCGGCGAAAGAATGAATTAGAGTCGGGACCGATTACAACAAGAGTGTCATTTCAGCAATTTGCGGTACGAGCCACTCGTTTTAATGGTCGCCGACTATATCACCGGGGCGAGGTTCACTCGTACCTACGAGAGAAAGTCTCCGTTCCATTCGATATCACTTTACGGTCCCGCGATTCATATCCGTGCACATGATGGGCACCGCACCACCGTGGACCAGGCGTTCTCCACTCGACGTCGGTCGATTGCGCGGAGGTGCAATGAGGATGGTCGGCTCGGTGGAGGGACAGACGGATTGGTGGAGGGCTGGAGAAAAAAAAAATGTAAAATCGCCGTATTTACGAGCGGCCGGCGGCTCGTGACTCTTCGAAAATCGAGGCAATCCCGGCGGTCGCGACACTTCGAATGGCAGAGCGATCCGACACGTTCCGCTGGATGCGTGTGTTGCAGCGGTATAGATTGCGCCACGGCACTTTCGTGCATTTCACGTTAATCGCGAAATATGGCGCACCGACGAGTATGCAAAAAAAGAGGGAAAAAGATACACGTAGAAGTGAATTCGCTCGTAAACTGAAAGCGCGGATCGGCAAGGTTTATCGCATTTTTTTTTTTTTTAATTTAGTTAGTATCTGGCGCAGTCCATTTGGTGATAAATAATTATGCATTTATTCTCCACAAGTAAGAAGTAGATAGGAAATGGTGTAATTATCGAAGTGTGACGAATGGATAGGAAATACGAATACTTACGGTGAATTCAAGTCTCGTAATATTATATATCGATATACCGGATTAATTTTGCTTCTCCTAGTAACTTTGGTTGCAGAGATCCATCTTCGAAATATATAAATTTTGTCAGAATTACATGAGCATGTAAGCATGTTTCTAAGATCAACTAAGAAGAAATAGTACGGATAAGAGGACATTAAAGTTAAAGAGGAATGTTGAATATTAATTTATAAAGTTTGATATTACAGGAGTGATCTAAATTTATGGATTAATTCTAAATAGAATCGTAAAACGTAACTTGTTTTCGTAAAACTTGTAAAAACTTATGATTAGTATTCTAATTTTATGTATGTTTATGTATCATAAGACGTACGATTGTAAATAAATATCTAGGACTGTAAATCTTATGGCTAGAAGCTGTCTGTAAAGATTGTATTGTATAAAGATTTAAAAGCGCACTTAAAAGTTCTTATAAATCTTACGATTCTGCTTAGAATTTAGGCATTACCTTCTATTAATTTTACCGATGTGTCCTTTAGCGTGTAAGATGACTTTTCTTTCAGAAACATTATAATAGTATCATTCCTCTTTCTTCCATCTTTTAAAAGCTATGAGCTTTTTTTATACATATCTGGTGCAGAGTCTACTTCATGATAAATAATTGCGCATTTATCCTCTAAAAATAAGAATATGAGAATATGGTTTAATTATCGAAATGCATCAAATGGATGGGAAATATTTACGATAAATTTAAATTTCATAATACCGATAGAACGGGTTAATTTGACGTATCATGTAACTCCGATCCATCTTCGACGAAATATTACGTAATTAAATTTTAATTACACATGTATAAGTTTCATTTAATTTTATTTAAAATGAACTTAATCTTTAATTTTACACGCCTATTACTAATTCAAATAATTTTACTATCAATTATTTATCGAAAAGCGAAACAGCCGTAATCGATTAAAGTTGATTGTTCCACTTTACAATTTAATACGTAACATCGAGTGTATGATGCAAATTTAGCGAAGAAACGGTGGCTCCATTCTTTAAACGAGTCTATTTTTCAAGTGCCTCGAGCGACCGCGAATCTCTAGATACAGGGTAATCTTCGTCACATTTCGGATTCCGCCATGGGGGGTGGAAAGCGGGAGGACGATGGGAAAGTGAAAGGGTTGCTTCTGAGAGGAGGTAAGCGGTGGGGTAAGTTTCGTCGCCAGGGCTCTCGAAAGTCACTTAACTTAGATTGCACGAGCGAAATGACTTTACTTCCCCGGAAAACTTCGTTCCGTTGGAAAGGCATCTCCTCTCTGCAAGCACCAAAAAAAGAAAGAGAGAAAGAAGAAAAAAAGAGGAACGGGGAATAAGGATAAAACGGGGAAGGCTGGCGGAGGTAGAGAGAAAGAAAGGCAGCGTGTGTGTGCGAGAAAGGCGGTTTCAAGGCGGTGTGTTATGTAGGAGGGAAAAGGGGTGGTGAAGGGACAGGGCAGCGAAGGAGAGAAAATACTCAGTGCCACCTCCGCACACACGTCCTCCCTTTGCGAGGACGAAGATACGAGTCGACTATTACCTGACACCTCCGTGCGGATTCAGCATTTACTTCCGCCGTCGAGTTCGGAACGTTTACACGGGGCTTGCTCTGATTGGGCAGGGGATTTCTCACGGTGTGATGAAAGGCGCGGGATGAGCTTGCGCTTTGAAGTAATATCCTTATTCCTCGAATGGAGTTGTCTCTTGGCAACATGGATTTACTACCGAAATTGCTTCGCACTAGTCAACTGGTCTTACGGCTTCAACGATGTAGAGTATCGAGTTTTCCTTCTCGACAAAGTTATCTGGAACTGCAATATAATTTTATCTAAATAGCATACATACATTTCTGTCTTTGCTACTTGTTTTATATCTACTTTTATGT